ATACCAGGCGCCCAGAGGTGCGCAGTGGTAGTACTACTACTACTACTACTACTACTACTACTAACACTTATTGCTGATATATGAATACGGATGCTGGTATGGATACCAATACCATGACTAACACTACCTACACTTATTGTTATGTTGTACGACGACGACAGCGACCACGACCACGACGACGCGGCTGCAGCTGCTGCTAATCGTACTGATATTTATAAGGATGCTCCTACTGATACTGATATTTATAAGACAAATACAAATTAATTCCAGCTTTAGCTCCAGATGATATGAAGCCATATAAGTACTACATAGCACTACAAACATTTGCCCTGATACTACTTTTAATACGAATCCTCCGTCGTTATGAGAGGAACACCATTCTTTGAAATAATCCATATTGCCCCCGCCACTCACCCTATGGTATAATCAGTAGACCGCAGCTTTCCAGACCGACCTCGTCTGCCCTTTACTTCTACTAAAGTATCCTAAAGGAAGAGACAACTCCAGCCAGTAAGCTAGCTTTCGTGACATCAAGGGAGACAATTGGACACAATGAAACAACCAGAGCGTCTGGTCCATGGCTAGCTACAGCCCCCGCGCCGGAAAATGGGAAGTCTTTTCAAAAGCGGCTACTCGAACCGCATGTTCCAAAAAGATTCACTTCTGCAAACGCAATCTGGACTCCACTGGACTCCACTGGGCCTGCCCCGTCAGCTGTGGACAGTGCATCAGCCACGCTATCTCCATCTCGGGGTGCTCCACCTGACGGAGGAAATCTTTCCCCACCCAGTCCCTATGAATTGGCAAGCCCCTGGAATGCTTCAGGCTGACCCATTTCTGCGCGCAGACCCCTGCGTCAAAAGGAGGCAAATTGGGTGTTGCGGGGCGGTGCCAAAAATGGATGGTTTTCGTGCACTTGTGCTGAACAGCCCAAAATCATGTCAAATTGGATCTCTTTTTCTGGGGTCTGCTAGGGCTGGAATGCACTTCAGTCAGTGAGCCATGGCCTTCCGAGGACTTCCGCGAACCTCGACCTCGGAAGATCTCGAGGCCCCTGGCTAACTGACTTCAGCCTTCCAGCAGCCAGCGGGCCTCGGAATGCCCGAGGTCTTCGAATGACCGGGGAAGACCTCCTTCCCGACGTTTCAGGGCCGGAAGATCCCGGGACTGACTGACTGACTGACTGACAGACTTAAGCATTCCAGCCGCTCGGTGGGGCAGCGGCAGGCGCCTCCGCTAGTGGCTGGATTCTTATAAGTCCGTGAGTCAGGGGCCTCCCGAGGTTTTCCGAGGTCTTCCGAGATCATCCAAGCTCTCAAAAGACCTCCTTCCCGAGGTTTCGAGGTCGTCCGAGACCTCGGAAGACCTTTTAAGACCTCGGCAGTCCCCTGACTCACTGACTTAAACATTCCAGCCACTAGCGGCGGCGGGCGCCGCCATTGGCTGGAATGCTTAAGTCGGTGAGTCAGGCCTCCCGAGATTTTGTGCGGTTATCCGAGGTCTCGGAAGACCTCAAAACCTCGGGAAGGATGTCTTTCGAGGCTTTGCGAGGAGCTACCTTGGAAGCTCTCGGAAGACCTCGGGAAGCCTTTGACTGACTGGTGGGGCAACGGCGGACACCAGTGGCTGGAATGCCAGTCGGGATCCTCCAAGCTCTTCCGAGGTCATAGGGTTTAGGGTTTAGCGGCCGGGCCATGCAGTTCTGCTCTCAGGAATCTACCCGAACTCTTTGCCTAGGACTTGCCTGGAGCCCAAAAGTCTACCTGAACCCTTTGCCTGAAACTCGCCTGAGACCTAAAAAGTCACAAAGCCTTTACCTGAACCCTCTGCCCAGGCTACAACCGTTAAGCCCTGGAATGCTTAAGACTGCTTCAGATCCCACCCGCTACATGGATAGAAGCCTCTAGGGTCCCTATACTCAAAAAAGCAGTCTTAAGCATTCCAGGGGCTTGGCAACCTATTCCCAAGTCACAGGGGGTCTAAGGTACTAGGGTAGGTTTGTGCAAGATTGATCGATCCACCACATACTGTGCCCACGCTGGATGGACCAGGCTAGGCTTCCGGCGGTGGGAGCTGTCAAGCTCCTGCATTCCGACAGGTCAACGAAGCGAAGGCCTCAGCAAACCCAGCATCAAGTCAGCAGTGGCATCTACATGGGCACTGTAAGCCCTGAACGCGGGTTGTTTACGGGAGACAAAATCTCCGTTGCACACTGGTCCTGCAAAGGCAATCAATGCAGCAGTGGAAGTGCACGCTGCTGCTTGACACAGAAGAGCAGCCAAACGCGACGTCCGTCAGCTGTTGGCAATGCGTGACCTTAACCAAGATGAAGTCCCTGCTTTGATACCCCCAGGCCAATGCACGGCATGCAGCTCTGAGGAGTGTACAGACAAGAGCTCCAGGTTCGGCAACGCGAAAGAAATGTGAGAAATATGGCATTTGGCTATGTACAGCGACCTTGGCGCTGTCTTGCGTGCACATGAAGCTGCAAGCTGACACCAGAATGAGGGATGCGCCGAAGGTTCTGGCAGGTTGCGATCAGCTTTGAGAGCTGCTCGTCAGGCAGACTGGTTATCTGGCAAATGGTAAGGCACTCTAAAGCCGTCCTAGAAAATGTTGCTCTTAAATGAGCTCTGTACAGGCCGGCTCGGCTCCAGTGAGGCTGAGGCTGCTGAGACGCTGTGAGATTGCCAGCGGCATGCTCTGCAACCTGCTATCCACCTCGGTAGGAGATTTTGACCGAGGTGATTTGAACTTATGTGAAGACAGTAAGTCCTCTGCCAACTGAAGACTCCGTAGCCGAGGACTCACGGAAAAAAAGGACTGGATGATGTCGTCCGAGCAGCTGGAGTACAGGCTAATTTGACATTCGTCGGTCGCATGCAAAGCCCGGACCTACGTAAACATAGCACCTGAAGACCAGTTTCTGGAAAGGCCTCGGCCACAAAAGATCTTCCCTACACGGGTGTCGGTGAATCTGGGCGCGAACTTTCCAATTTCGTTGCACTTGCCCAGCTGCCTCCTGCAACAGCTAGTGACGTGCGGAGGAATACATAACTTCTCTTCTCTCCGTTTGATGTCGTTCAGGCTCATGTCATTCGATTCGTTCATGATGCCAAAACACGCTAACGCGCAGCAGGTGAAGCACAAGACACGGAGGCATGTCCTTCTCTTCCTGTGGCATGAGGGACAAGCGTCGAACCTTACATCGCTCTGCAAACTTCATTTCGATGCTCGGCATGGAAGTCCAAGCTCGTGGCGCAGAAACGCTGCAAGAGCTGCTCAACCTCCGGACCACTAACCTGTGCAAGAGACAGTGTGCTCCAACAAAATGTCGCCTAAGAGTTCTATAAGTACATACATACACTATGTGAGCCTTGAACTCGAAAACGAAGCTGCAGCGCGTCTGCGGAGGAAGCTGCAACTCCTGACAAGAAAGCGAACTGGCGAATGTTCAATGGAAAGGAACAGGGATGTGTGTTGGGAAATGCTCGGGGAAGGGGAGAATGCCTCACCAATTGCAGGAGATGCAGATCGGAAGTACGAAATCAGGATGCCTATGGTTGACCCGCGGCAATGTCAGAACGAGATGCCGTGATTTAGGTTGGCTACGCTACGTAATGGAACTTATTACACGGCTTCCACTTTCATGCAGTCATGCCTCCTTCCCTAGTGCTGTACCCTGCCTTGAACGCCATTTAAGCCCGGCCGTGCCCTCCAGCCGCGCACCCTTACCGATCCCCTATCAACAGTTAACGTTGTCACTGGGAACCCCGCTGTTGCAACCCTCCTGCGAGACACCTTTCGCAGGTAGAGCAAATTTCCAACTGCGACGTACAACAAAGAAAGCATCAAATACCTTTGCAATTTGAAGATTTGGAATTCGTATCTGGTTGAGTTGGTATTTTTTGCACGTATGAAGCCGCAGTACTGCATTTGCTTGAATTAGTGCGGCTCTGAGCGCCCAAAGCCTTGATAAAACGTTTAAAAATATTGCAATTCGAAAACTGCACCTGTCATCTTTCTGGACATAAGGTTTCTGCTTCGTGAATTTGGCACTGAAAGATCGGAGATCTAGTTTTTGGGTGGGAATTCAGGATATGGGGTCTCTCGCATCGGTGCAAGCACTGTTTGCCAGAGACATACACAGCTTCAACAAAGACAGTAATCAGGCTCAACATGCTTTGTCATGGTAGCGTAGTGACGGAATGCTGTCTCGTCCCCGGTTGCATCTGAACCCCCACTCCAATCAAAAGACTCGAAGCTTTGCTCAGCGATTGTAGCCTAACAGTCCAGGCGGCATGCTGGAGATTGAGCCCTTACGATGAAGCCCTAGATTTGTTCATCAAAACCTTGCTTAGGCTGTGCGATTGCAGCCATTCCAATATCCGCGCGAGAGCCCACCGGTCATGATTGAATCGACATGTGTGGAGCGAGCCTCCAGAAGAATTCGAAATTTGGCAGCCTCGTCAGACTCGACAGGCACGGATTGGAGACGCAATTCAGTGGACATGCCTGCTGAGAACAGCACACTTCGGACCAAGCATTCGAAGTACTTGAGGCGCGGATGTCTCTTGATCCTATGTCTTCATGTCACTATCACAGCTGCTGACACTGGTTGACAAACCGACTGTTGCAACATGCGCAACTGAGCGTCCAGGTGTTCAGGGCCAGGATTTCATCACGGTCGCGGCTCGGTCCGCTACCTGGGCGTCTGTGCACAGCGAGATTCCTTGATGCAGCGTCTGCGATGCGCACCGAGGCCACAAGTGTCATCATAATTGAACGTAAGGCACCTCAACAACGGCATGCCACATTTGTCGGATTTTGTTCTTGCAATGCCGTGGATTCTCGTCACTTTGCGCTGCACTCCTCGTCTACTTGATCGCGAAGTTCTCTGCCTCGCACAGGGTCCATCAAAGCAGCGACAGCAAAGCAAAACAGCAGCATGCTAACTTGCAAGGCCCTGACAGGCTGATCGCACGATACTCAGTTGCAAGTTAACCTGTGGCAGATGATACTAGGTGCCATTCACAAGCTCGTGCTGTCGGCCTCATTCGCTCCACTATAGCACAGAAGGTCACCAACCAGGTTGAAGAAGATCTGCGACCTCCAGACCCCAAAGCATCCCTACCGCAAAATCACCGCCTGAACGTTTTGGGTCTGCCTGATGGGAGCCGTCAAGTCTAGGAAGGACCAAGGCCTCACAGTCTCCAAATCCCACAAGTCCTTGCAAGCATAGTGCCCCTTGACGAGGCAAGCCGACTCAGCAAGCCGCAGATTGGAGCTCACAACGCTCACAGCACCTCCCGGCCTGTCCAAGCAGAACAGGACAGTGGGCAGAGTCAAGAACTTCTGAGTGCGTCCGAAAGACTGAATCAGCGGCTCGGGCGGTGGCCACGGGGGGCACGCCTGGCTCCCCGTTCCGCCCTCTGCCCCTCTGAACGCAGCCGACAAGCGTGGCAGACTCACGCTTGGCCTGGTACCCAGCATGCCGCTGCATGTGAGGGTTCTATTGAAGGCTCTTGTTTTGGTTGCCTGGGTTGTGAAAGTGCAGCGATCTGATCTGTTCTTGAGTAAAGTGAAGGTGAGCAGTCTTTGCTTGTGGTGGACAAACTGCATACTGGCGAGCCACGCCACACGTGCGGCCTATCTCCATCAATGTCCATCAGTCAAAACCCATCAAGAGTTCAGAAGCTCAGGCAGGGCCGCAGGGCCCCTGCTTTTTTCGAGTCAGTCCTCCCACAAGTCCCACTCACAGCATCGCTGCAAGCCCTGGGCAGAAATTACACGGGTTGAGCACGCCAAGCATGAATTCTCCAACTGAGGGAGATGCTACACTGGCGGCTGTCTTTTCGTAGACTCTGACCCAGCTGTGTGGCACTGCATTCCACCTGCCAGTTTCCCCGCAGGAACGGGACATGACGGCAAGCACGCAGTGCCAAGCACTGCCCTATGACCTGCCTGCGAGCCAAGGGCCTCAGGGCTTGCTCGCCATCACGGCCAAGGCAGCAATGCCTGATTAACAAATGCCGCAGACTTGCACAAAAACTAGCTGCAGAATTCCTGTGCTGCACAGGCCTTAGCGAGATGTTGAGGCGTGTCATGCCGACCGGCAGGTTTGCGGCCAGCGCCCTAGCCTCCCACAAACAACTTCTCAGCCTTTGGGGACTGTCTCGCTGGTACAAACACCACGAGAAATGCGCGAAGCAGTCTTTTTTCCAACAATTGCTGTACAGCCTGGCGAAGCTGTCCCTCACTAAGGACTGGTCGTCCTTGCAAGAGGTCTATGAGAAGTTTCGTGTTCTGCGGCGTGACGGCGACCCCGGACTTCAGAGCCTCCAACACCACCGACCGCAGCCCCACCTTGCAGTTCGAAAGACAACGTGCTCCAAAAGCGAAGCTCCAGGCATCAAGTTGATCTTGATGATCAGCTTTGCGGCAGCCAATTTCCTTCAACAGCTCTTGCAAAGCTTCAGCAGCTAGATCAGCCAAGGGACCTAAGAGTAGCTCAGGAAGCTGTTGTTGCAGTCGCATCTGCAAGACTTCCGTAACTCGCTCTGCTTGCTCAGTCAGTGGAATGAGCACGCTCACACTGTGCTGTCCGCTGCTGGGATCACACCCATGGCTAAGATGAACAACACGCGCCCCTTGTCTCAGCCACAGCTTGATGAGCCATGAAGTTGCTCCAAAATGTGCGGCAATGGCATCCACCCTCTCTAAGGACTTTAGGTGGCTCAAGCTTTCCTCCAGCAGCCGCTCCCCCAGCCCGTATCTACGCAGGTCCGGATGCAGGCACCACCGCATTACCCTTGCAAAGCGCAATTTAGCAGCGTCTAAAACACCCGCATCCCTGGTCAGAGTCTGTGCAGTGAGGTTCGCCGCGACCTGACACCTCGCCAGCCACAGGGAGTGAGCCTTATCCATATCCAGCACTGGCTCCTCAATGCCTGAAATGGTGATGCCATAGTAACGGCTCTCGTGTCGCAGAGCAAGCCAAATGATACCCTTCGCATCGAGGAAGGTCTCGAGATCAGATGGCTTGGTTTTGTAGTGGCCCACGCGGAGGAGACCGTATAGTTCCTTCAAACGGCCATCATCGTCGATAACAGTCTGGTCAACAACTTCAAGGACAGCCGACTTTGCGATCGTGTCAGCTTTGTCTTGGCTAACTGTCGCTGGCGCCGCATCCAGAAGCAGGGCCGCACGTGAAAGGACCTGCGTCAAGCCAACAAGCCCTCACAATCGACCCTGCACCCCGTGACAATGCGGGTTACTCCAGATTACTCGACCACCCGCAAAGCCTCCAGAGGGCAGCCATGAGCCCAGCGCCAACACGTCTGGAGCTCCCGAATCTGGAGTCCTCTGCGTGCAGCACGAAGCTGCGGAATTGCCCGAATCAAGAAGCCATTCCCACTGCCTTCATAGCCTCACAGTTGGGCTTCATTGTTCTTGAGGATGGGTGAGGCTTTCCCCTCTACTTGAGCGCAGCGCGCACGAAAGCTAGACTACAGCGCTTCGCTTGCCAAAGTTTGCAACACTGTCATGCCGTCCTCTCTGATTGCCCGAAAAACACTCTAAAGCTGTTTGGAACATTGCACGTTAGT